AGCTCTTCGGCTAAGAAGGGCAACATTGGCGCATCAGTTTGGTAGTCTGTTAGAAAGGGATGGACCAACTTTGCCACAGATATGAAAAAGCTCAGTCTTGCTGGAAAATCTTGATGAATCCTCAAGTCTGTTTGCATCACTAAGTAATGAGTAATTTGAGTGGCATGGTATGATCTTCAGTTATCTTCTCATAATCATCTCTTCTGGCTGGGGCATCAGCAAACAAATAAAAAGGATTATAGGAAGCTCTCCACCTCCCACTCAGCAGCCTTGGCACCTGTTAGAAAAACACCATTAACTATATGGAGCCCGCATGAGCCCATGTTGAGTACGGAACGGTTCACTTCCGATTTGTATTCTCTTGACAAATCATCATACATTTTCCAATTTACATTTGGACCATCCATACTAATTTGCAATAATTTTTCCAACCCTACTCTGTGAAGAACTTTATCCAGTTCTTCCTTGAGGTGAACATCTGTACTATGTCCTAAGAAGACTGATGTCAAGTAGCGAGTGCGAACTTCATTATGCTGCCACATTCTTATGAGGAAGTCCATTTGCTTTTTCTGCAGTTTCTTTCTGCAGAGACTTTCATCAAATAGGATGGCATAATGGGAGGATTTCTTTATGTTGTCATACAGGAGATCTTGCACATATGACCACAAACCAAACACAGTCATGTATCTGCATTTTGTCTTTGACAATTGGAACCCTTTTGCAATCGATGAATCTGGGAACATTCTTTGAAAGAGGTCGCTATTGTGCTGACAGGAATGAAATGATAAGTGGTCCTCAACCACTTTCAGGCACCAGAGTATTTCTGCTTTCAATGTATCCTGTCTGGCAGCAACAGGAATGGGAGATGTCACTTTGGAGGTTGATGGAGCACAATTACTCGGCATTGCATCTGCAGACTGAGTGGTAGAAACTGACGGACATTCTCCTTTTGGCTTGAAGAAGCTCTTTATTGTGAGAGTAGATGAGCCTTGAGGAAAAAAAAAAGAACATAAATCAAAGCGGTAAATTTGCTGATATGAAACTGAAGAAAAAAATCAAATGGGTACTACTGTAGTAATAAAATCCAATTTTGAGTTTTCTTAAGAATAAAAAATATCATAATTCTAGATTTTTTTCTCTTTTATGGTCTATAGTGTATATTTCATAAATATTGACAGGATTTTGTAAAACTCTGTACAAATTTCAAAACAAAATGAGCTTCCATCTGTGATAAATTGCAATTTTGGTCCTTCCTTCAATCAAGTAATACAATTTTTAATTCCATTTTTACCATTACGAAAAATAATTCTTTTGAAGCACTTCAATTCAAATAAATGTGTAATTCAACCTCACAGTCAGTTGACTTGACTGGTGTGTACACTTAGCACACATTAACTAGTAAGCAAATAATAATATTCATCATAAAATTGTCAATAACTTTGCTGAAATAATAATCCAAGTCATCCCTCTTTCATTATAAATTTATTAAATTAATTTCAATTTTTTTTTCTTTGAGACTTTGTGACCCGGATACAAATCGGCTTGCGAACCCCCAGCAAGGCAGCATTTGGACAATTCCAACCACCGCCAAAAAATTTTAAATTTTGAAATGGATAGCTCAGTGGAGTGTTCTGCCTATCACTTTCTATTTTCGTAACATATTTTTACATGATACAGAATGCTCTTGTTGTACAAAAACAAGTCAAGTTGGACATCAAACTGAGTCTGAGACTGAGAGTGGTACCAACAAATTTTAACTTTCAGTTTTTGTTTTATTCCTCTTTCCTTCTACACAATACCTCTGAAATTGTGAAATTTTGTTGAAAATTTGTCAATAAATTACTGAAATAATTACTTCTGATTTTCTGAAACTCTGAATTCAATCGTCTGATGGGTGCCGCCATCTTGGATAGTTAAGGAGATATCGTG